AAGATGATCCCAAGTTCAAGGCCAGACTCAGCAACCTAGCAAGATCCTATCTCAAAAATAAAATAAAAAAGAACTGGGGATGTAGCTTAGTGGTAGAGCACCTCTGTTCAGTCTCCAAGACCAAAATAAATAAATAGTATATCAAGTATGTGGATATAAACTGTACCCTAATAAACATCCACTTATCTTTTATTAAAGTCAGTTAGCTAGCTGGGTGTGGTGGTGCGTGCTTATTAACCCAGTGACTCAGGAGGCCAAGGCAGTAGGGTCCCAAGTTAGAAACCAGCCTCAAATTGCAAGGCTCTAAGCAACTTAGCAAGACCCTGTCTCAAAAAGAACTGGAGATGTAACTTAGTGGTAGAGCACCTCAGCACTACCAAAAACAGTCAGTTGACTACAAACTTCTATTCAGTAATACTTTTTTTCTTATATTTATTATTAAGTTTTAGGTGGACACAATATCTTTATTTTACATTTATGTGATGCTGAGGATCAAACCCAGTGCCTTGTGTGTACTAGGTGAGCACTCTACCACCTAGCCACCACCCCAGCCCCTTCAGTAATACTTTTTAAGAACTGTCCCATGTGTTGAATGTACTTGGAAGTTACAATAAAAACAGATACAGCTTATTAAAATCTGCTTTTTAGACTTGTTACTAATTTAGACCATTCCTCCTAATTACATTTTAAAAGTATTAAGAATATATCAAAAAAATAAGCATGATTCACTTGCGTTTATATTTCACAAATCTTCTTATGATTCTACTTCTCATAGAATTTCAGATAACTTTCAATCCTAGTCATCTCTGATAGTACTATTTTTAACTAAAATGTGCTTTTTAAAATATATATAAGAGGATGTGAGGGGAAGGGGAAAAAAAGAGAGAGAGAAATGAATTATGGTTGATGGGGTAGAGAGAGGTGAGGGGAGGGGGGGAGGGGAGAGGAGGGGAAGGGGGAGGGGAGGGGAGGGGGGAGGGGGATAGGAAGGGGATAGGAAGGGCAGCAGAATACAACAGACACTAACTAGTATGGCAGTATGTATAAACGTGGCTGTATAACCAATGTGATCCTGCAATCTGTACACATGGGAATAATAAGAATTCATACCCCATTTGAATCAAATGTATGATATATGTCAAGATCAATGTAATATTTTGAGCAATTAATAAATTTCTGATAAAAAGAAGTACAATTGACAAACATGAAAAAAATGTTTAACATCTCTAGTAATTAGAGAAATGCAAACTAAGATTTCATCTCACTCTAGTCRGAATGGCAATTATCAAGAATATAAGCAATAATAGGTTTTGGCGAGAATGTGGGGGAAAAAGGTAGAATCATACATTGCTGATGGGACTGTAAATTGGTGCAACCACTCTGGAAAGCAGTATATGGAGATTCCTCAGAAAACATGGAATGGAACCACTATTTGATCCAGGTATAAACATTATTAAAATGGCCAGTTAACTGAAAAAAAAAATATGCCTTTTGTGTATAAATTTATTAAAAAGAATAAAATGTCCAGTGAAATCCAAGGAGGATCTCCTTATGTAATTTAAGATATCTGTTTTTCCAAATGTAGAATATAGTATCTTAGACCTTGATCAACACTAAAATTCTATGATCTATTTTTTCAAAATGAGAAAGTTTTTAATAATTATTTTAAAAATGCTGGTCATTGAAGACACAAAGTATTCGAAAGCTCACCATAATACATAAAGCTACAGGTCAACTCTACATCTGTGCAGATAATTTCACTAGCTCCCCATTGATGAAAATTTAGTTTCCAATATTTARTTACTATAGATAATTATATAAACATCTGAATATTTTCTAGAGAGAATTTTAATTTTTGTAGCAGGGATCAAACCCAGAGGAACTTAAACAAAGCCACATCCCCAGACATTTTTATATTTACAGACAGGGTCCCAGTAAGCTAATTAGGGCCTTGCTAAGTTGCTGAGGCTGGCTTTGAACTTTTGATCCTACTGCCTCAGTCTCCTGAGCTGCTGGGATTACAGGTGTGAGTCATGGTGCCTGGAGTTGTAGACAGAATTTTAAAATGCGGTTGAACTCTTAATTTCATATCTCTAAATATCCCTTTAGAAAGGCTTTGCCAATTTATAAACTGAATTACATGAAATTTTCAATATTTGTTCATTTTTGAACTACAAAAGGCAATTTTATATGGCCTAACTTAATACATTCCTATTATTTCTCTATACTCATGTTAGCAATTATCAAACCCTTAGAACAACACTTCTGAAGATCTTGGGATATTTTATGAGAAAGGGTGCTAGGAATTTTCATGAAGATAAAGGATGGGAGCCATGAACATGGAGGGTACTGTCAATGTCATTATGAATGACAACTAAATCTGCATACTGACACAGTGGGAGACACATGCCCTGCCTCTGTGACTGAATTGTGGCTTTGTCCCCTAACTGCACTTTTGGGCCTCCATGAGCAGGATAGAAAGTAGCAGTTCTGACACTTTTATGTGTAAAATTTTCTCTTCAAACACTAAAGGGACTAAGAAAACCAGGCTGCATTCCCCTCCTTTGTGCGTCCACCAGAAATTCTCCTATTATTTTTCATATTTTTGAAGATATGTTCATCTGGATGACAGTGCGAATGCTGAACAAAGCTGAACCTCCAGAACCTATAAGCAATGCACACCTGAGGCAAGTCTGAAGCACTGAGGCTTGTTTCCATACAGCAGGGAAAATCTGAGTGAGTTAAATCTTCAGAAAGACCACTGAAATTCAAGGCATCCAATTCTGACATGCTTTCTAATTTTTCATGAGGCGTCTCCACTCCAAAATGTACAGGATCTGGTGGTAATGACCAAAACTTGTTTTTTTGTAAGGCCAGGGATGATGTCCAAAAATTTTCAGAGTCCTTGTTCCTTTGTGCTGAATGATGGAAAGCCTCCTCAAAAAACAAAAGCAAACAAATAAAAATTATATGAACACATATAATTTTAGTATCTATTAATATATGCAAATAAAGAAGGGTTCCCCTACTCTTCCTCATACTTGCAGCAAAGTTCACTGCCCTAAATGTTATAAAAGTGCCATTTAGGTTATTAGAAAATTTAAAAATTTAGTCTAAGTATACCATGATAACTTTGTTTGCTACTATCCCGTAATTCCCTAAAGGCTATGACCTAGAAAGTGAAGGGATCTCTGTTACTTTAAAGACCAACACTAAGCCTTCCTCACTTCCCTATGTCACATGGATTCTCTCAGGCACCTGTGATTGAAGATTTGGAGGCATCTTGGCATCCACCTCATTATCCACAGCTGAACCGTTACCAAGTCCTGTCTGTTTTTGCTTTAAAATTGTTTTTCCATCACCCATGTTTTCATTCCATCCCCTATGCCATCACTCTGATCCATATCCTGACATACTCATCTGCCAGAAGATGGGAGGAGGAAAGATATTAAATCACTGAGTCCTGATTCTTCTACTTGAGTTTCATGGCTTTTCACAGCCTGTACTGACATCACCTACCCAATATTCCCTCCAAATCTAGTCAGATCAGGCTCATTTTCCTGCAAATAGATAATGCTTTCTACCACTTTGGCAACTGGCCCTGGCATTCACTTCTCTTAAAACCTTCATCTGTTTTTAAAAATCTTTACTATGTTTTAAGTCTGCAACGCTCTCACAATTCATCCTACTGCCTTAGTCTTCACCATTGTTCCAAGGGTGTTCGTGTTTTTTATTTATAGATTACAATTGCCTTTTGGGAAGTCAACTTATGCCTTTATGTACAACCTACTATAGGCAGACCACTGTTTTCTGCACAGTAAATAACGATTGAATAAATCCTGCATTCCAGTGACTTATTTCTACTAAATCCTCTCAATATGCAGTCACTACTTATTTGCCTGGATGAATTATTTTGATGAATTGGTGAATTAATGATCAATTTAATGAAGATTCTGTTCAAACTTATGCTATCACTTAGTAAAATATAAAAACAGTAAGCCAAGAAGGTCACATAGGACTTGTGAAAGGTCCAACTTTATCCTCACTTCTTCTAAGTCTTCCAAACAAATAGAAACCGCCTGCGCTGTGGTGAGGGGGATCTGAAAAACCTATCTTGCTGTTTTCCAAATTCCAAAACCCATAAAGGCCTCTTTTCTTTTCTTGGTGAGTCGGTAACTTTCAAATACATAACTTTGTTCATGCCCCCTAGGTCGCTGCACAATCTGCCAGTTTATTTTTTTAAAAGTCAGGCCTACTTTTTCCATCTTCCACATCTGTCCTGAGCATATTTATATTAGATTTTTAAAATACTTACTCAACTGTTTGGAGAGCTATTTCGCAGACACGCTAAAGCAGTTTAAAAGTAGATGATATGTCAAGAAACTCTTATTATAAAACTCTTTTTAATATTTTTCAGTCGTGTGACAAACCTCAACTTTTTAAAAGCACGTATTTCATTTTCACCTCAAAACCATGCACCAAACTTTGTGAGACACCTARGTGTGCTCAATTCCATGATCCAGAGAACTTCTGGAACCCACGCTAAGAACTGCGATCTTCCTACCCCCACACTGGCCCCGAGGGAGGAAGAACCCCTGTCCACCCTTTCCCACCGAGGGCTTCTGCAAACAGGCAGCGGGCTCCAGGCGCGCTGGAACGTCCCAGTGTGACGTCCGCCCGCGCCAGCCACTCTCGGAGGGGAAGGGCACCGGCGCGCTAGACGCCTTCGGCGCGGGGTAGACCCCACTCAGTTCCAGAATGAGCGTGGACTCCCACGGAAACAGCCTGTGAGCTAACTGGAGCGTCCTTCTACGAGAATAACCACAAAGTAGCGGGAAGAAACGAAAAGCCCCAGGCTGAAAGCCGCAAAGCGGAATCAACCTCATCCCCCGACAATGCAGTTTGTCCCTCTAGCGCACCGTCCCTAGCGAGCTCCCGGATCTCCGTACGGCACAGGGGCGGGACTTCCTGTGAGATCGGACTTCCGCCGGGGGCGGGGTTTCCCGGTCGGCTTCTGGCCCAGGGTGCCAGAGCTCTGGGTCCTCGTGGTCGGAGCCGAGTGTGTGCGAGGGCTTCTGAACCGTTTGCGAGGCGGGGTTCGCGGAGAGGCCGTTGGATTCGCCGCAGGTAAAACCGTTCCTGTGCCGTTTCCGCCCCGGCGCAGAGCGGAAGGCCTCCGCGGGTGTCGAGGGCTCGGTGCCTCCATCATGGACTACCGGCGGCTCCTGATGAGCCGGGTGGTCCCCGGGCAGTTCGACGACGCCGATTCCTCCGACAGGTGAGCGGCCGTAGAATACTCCCACTCTGTTCAGATTCTGCTCTCTCCTTGCTTGTAGTTCATAGGGTGTTTCAGCCGGCTTCGTCTGCATCCCTCCGAGTCTTCCTACTTTAGGGCAGAGTTCAATGAGGCATTTGTCAAAGACTGGTTCCCTGGACGGTCAGCATAGCCGAAAAACAGAATGGGGGATAGCAACTGGCAGACGTAGGTGTTTGTACTGTAACTACATCCTCAGGTATTTATTGAGCACTTCCTGTGGGCCAGGTTTTTATCCTTGGCTGGAAATTGTCATGAACAAGACAAACCCAGGTCCACTGTGATGGAACTTGACGTGGAGAGAACAGACCATTTGTAAACAATAAGATGATGATATGTATCATACAAATTATTGAAATAGGTTAATACGCTAATTAATGGTCAGAGAACGATTACAGTCCACATTTAAATGACAAGGGGATATCATTCCAGGCAGAGAGAACAAGTGCAYAGGTCTCACGGGTGGAATCCCTCTTGGTTGTGAAAGGCAGTGGAAGTGGTTGAGAAAGAGAAACGGGAAGGGACCAGATCATGTAGAGTCTTACAAGTTATGGCAAGGAGTTAAGATATCTTTGAAACTCTTTAGAAGGCCAGAGGAGGGATTTTTGCAGGGGAATGATGTAATTTGATTTATGATTTGAAGGAAGTCATTTTGCTGTGTAGAATATGGTCATGGGGAATAAGAATGGAACASAGACCAGTTTGAAAAATCAGGTTCAAATAAGATGGGCACCAGAGCTAGAGTTTTAGAGATATGATTTGGAGATAGAAATGACAGGTTTATTGATAAATTGGATGTGGGTTCTAGGGAAGGAGCAGAGAAGACTCACTCCTACTCAGAAGGAAAATGAAACTGTTATTTTGAAATTCAAGAAAAGGATTCCTTTTTTTTATGATAAGGATTTGTTACAATGTAGGTTTTTTTTTTTTTTTTAAGAGAGAGTGAGAGAGGAAAGAGAGAGAGAGAGAATTTTTTAATATTTATTTTTCTAGTTCTCGGTGGACACAACATCTTTGTTGGTATGTGGTGCTGAGGATCGAACCYGGGCGGCACGCATGCCAGGCAAGCGCGCTACCGCCTGAGCCACATCCCCAGCCCCCTACAATGTAGGTTTTAATTATTAATTTGGACATTTAAAAAAAATTTTTTTTAGTTGTAGATGGACACAATATATTTTCATGTGGTGCTAGGATTGAATTTTCGTGGCAAGCACTCTGCCACTGAGCCACGATCCCAGACCAATTGAGGCATTTTTCARTAAATAAACTTATACTATTTTCTGTGTGTCAGATCTAGTGTTATGTTGGGTGATAGGGGTGTGTTGGTAAACACTATCCTAATTGATGTAGACCTTGTATTCTGGCAAGGAAAACTGGTATTAAATAATTAGACAAATTATTTATACTAGAATTGATTTATTAGTATGGAGGAAAAATGGGTGAACGATAAGGAAGACTTCTTTGAGCAAGTGATAGATAGCAAGCTGATATGGGAAGGATRAATAAAAAAAATGAGAAGGGCTTTTCAGTCTTATGATTACAGATCAACATACAGAAGACCTTTTGGAAGAATTTAAGTGGGAAGAAGCAAAGCAGCTTGCTGGTGAATAGATGATAGTAATGAGAATGCACTAGTTTACTGACCAAACCAGGCAATAGTGCTTGCTTATAATCCCAACTACTCAGGAAGCTGAGGCAGGAGGATCACAAGTTCAAGGCCATCCTCAGCAACTCAGTAAGATTCTGTCTAGAAAATAAAAGGGCAGTTGTGTGCTTCTGTATGCACCTGTAATTTTAGCAATTTGGGAGATGGAGGCAGGATAATGGCAAGTTCAAGGCCAGACTCAGCAGATTAGTGAGTCCCTCAGCAATTTAGTGAGACTCTGCCTCAAAAAAAAAAAAAACAAAAACAAACAAAAAAACCCTGGGGATGTAGGTCAGTGGTAAAGTGTCCCTGGCTTCAGTCCCCATTATCAGAATTAATAAATAAGGCTGAGAATGTAGCTCAGTGGTTGAGCAGCTTTGGGTTCAATCTCCAGTACCATTAAAAAAAAAATAAAAATTACCACCCACATGGGGTATTGTGAGGATAAAACCAGGGGTTCTTTTACTGGGGATGATTTTGCTACTCCCAGGGGACTTTTGGCAATCTCTAGAGAGATTTTTGTCAAGGATGGGTGGGGGTGGGGGTATGCATTAAAGGCAAGTGGTACATAGAGGACATTGATGCTGCTAAATATCCCGTCATGTGTCATGGCAAAGAATTACTTGACTGAGGTTGAGAAGCCCTGGAGCAAAGTTTAACTTTGACATGCCTCTTTAGGTTATTGGTARCTGAAGGATTAATTTATAGATTAGTAGATTATATTTATGAAGTTCTACTAAATTATAGGTGTTGAAGGATTCTGTTCCTACCCAAGCCCATGGGGATTTGGAGCTGTCAGGGCCATAGCTACTTAATAAATTGGGATTGGTATCTGAATTTACTTAAATTCATGTGTGACTATTTTTAAGTAGTGCATATTACTAGTTTGTCCATATGATTTCTGTCCTTATTCTCTACATGAAAGGTCAAAACTGGCAATACCTGTATTGAATTTCAGGCCTATAGACATGTTTTGTTTGGTATGCATTTTATTTTATAAAAATTGAATGTGACATGAAAGATTTTACAGAAACATCTATATTTCTGGCTTCTCTTGAAAAACCAAAACAATCTAATAACACAGGTTCTGAATTCTCACATGGCTAAAGATGGCCCTATTAGTTGTGCTGCTTTTACCCCTAGACTCTCTCTTTTGACAGTCCCTACTTCTATTGTCTTATATTCAGCCAACTTGACTCACACATAGTCCCCATTCTTTCCCTTTATAAACAAGAGTGATTTGAAGTTCTTTGTGTCTCACTAGTCTTAATATAATATAGCTCCTTGTGTTGCAAAGTGGTATTGAGTTCAAAGTAAGACTGCTTTAGACTTATTCCCAAATTTTGCTAGAAAGATTTTTTTTTTTTCTAATCTTGGAGGAGCTCCATGAATGATTTTATAGTCAGGTCTGGTGCACTGATCAGAGTAAGTTATTTTAAAAGAGAAGATAATGTAAATTCTAATCTCACTAAGGCAGGAGCAGGTTTATCACATGCTATACTYCTTCCCTAGTGGGACTTGGGTGTGGAGAATAAGCAATTGCAAAGAACTGAGACACAGGAGAAGTCAGTTTTGGGAAGATGGAACTTATTGGAGATATGTTGTGAGGAATGTTTCAGATTTATCAGCATTATTTAGTCTATTATAAATAAATACATACGTGAATCCAGGTAGAGGATTTGTAAACATGCTAAAACATTGTTATTTCTAGTGAAAATGTAAATTTGAAGATAATCAAAGCGGAAGATGGCATTCTGTTTGAAGACTTTCAAAACAATGTGACTAAGAAGAGTGAAAGTGAGATAAAAGTTGAAGAGGAAGAAGAGGAGGACTATGATGATGACAGTGATTGGGATTGGGATGATGGAGTTGGAAAACTCACCAAGGGTTATGTCTGGAATGGAGGGAGTAACCCACAGGTATTTAAATGATTCTGTATAACTTTGTTTTTTTTTTAATTGGGGCAGGTAACTAGGAAGTGAACCCAGAGATGCTTAAAAACTAAGACATATTCCCAGCCCTTCTTATTTTTATTTTGAGACA